GAGCATCGGCCCCACGCAGCCACCCTCCGCACCTGCAGCGGGGTCCAAAAACGACCCTACAAAAATGAGCCATTCTCACCCCGCTGGGTAAGTGACAACTGCGGCTTTTTTTTCTTTTTCTTTTTACAACTGCAGCTTTTCCACGCAGTGGCAGGTGGCGGCTTCAGGCGGCGGCCCCTCCTTCTCCCTCCTGCTGCGGAGGGAAGGGGCGGAGGGGAGAGTGACGGGGGATGGGGCGAGGAGTAAAATAATAGGGATTCTGGGTTGCAGTGAGGATGGCAGAAATCCCAGGCTTCGTGTCTCCTCCCTCCCCTTTCCTAGCTTCGTTCATGTTCATCCCCTTTGAAATGTTCGCTCTGGAAGGATCTGAAAAGTGGATGTGAGAAATGCATCCATTAAGCAGGGACCTTAGCTGCGATCAAGGCGACCCTGTGGTGTGGAACTTATGTGCTTGAATGCAAAAGTAGAGGTCACCAACATACGCATTCGTTGGGAGATCCGGGAGTGAGATAGACACATTCTCACCATGGCATCTTGCAGACACACGAAGTGTGAGTTGGCTTGAAGCTGAGGGTGGTTGCATTGTGAGGAGTGCCTCTCATTTCTGGGGTTTTATCTGCCCTGTCCCCAAAGGAACATAAGGGGCCTTTAATAGCATTTTGACCAGGGGAGGTGGTATGACACAGAAAAGGAAGGAGAAACGGAAGGAGTTGTGTGCCTGTATGTTTACAGTTACAGGACATCTTCCCTTTGGGGAGGGTGACTCCACCGAAGACATATTTAGGCAACTATTCAATCCATTTTAGAAAGTTAGCAAGGTCATTATTGGCTATTGCCCCCCCCCCCCAAAAAAAATAGTCTTGGTCCTTTTAGTGGAAGAGTGAATATCCAATTTCTGAGTTAAGCAATGTCATGCATAATACATAATTTTTTATCATGATGCATCTAGTGAGTAGGTAATATCCCAGTTGATCTTGCAACTAATTTGAAGATGTTTTCCTTTTTAACTGGATTTACTGCACATTTTCAAGAGCAGCAAATTAGCAGAGGACACCATATTTAAGATCATTTGGAGTTTGTAATGTCTAAAATTCCACATTAGTCTTTGTGCTTTGGATTTATAGTCAAACTTAAAGATTTAATTTTTTTAAATGAATTTTCTGACTGTAATGACATAAACAAAAATGTTTGAAAGAACCAAAGGCATACAAGGTGCCCTGTTGGAAGTCAGTTTTAGAACTTTCTGGAAAGTGATGTAGCTATGAATAGACAAAGTTCTTATTTGATCTCAAATTGAATTTCGTTGAGGTGCTTCGAGGCTTTGATGCTGAGCTCCCGTGCAGTTTCAGTTAGCCGTGGACCACATGGGATGTGGATGGCACTATTTTTCTGCATCTGCTGTTTGCAGTATGTCCACATTCGGGAAAATGAATGTGTCAGTCATGGTTGTCTTCCTATGTCTTTCAAGTTTTTAGCTAAGTGAGAATCTGATTAGACCATTTAATCATCTATTTTAAAATGTGGAAAAACTTGTAGCTGCTTATGAAACTGTGCATGATTAAGATTTCAGAAACTGCCCTTGCCGGTTTGGCTCAGTGGATAGAGCGTCGGCCTGTGGACTGAAGGGTCCCAGGTTCGATTCCGGTCAAGGGCATGTACCTTGGTTGTGGGCACATCCCCATTAGGAGGTGTGCAGGAGGCAGCTGATCGATGTTTCTCTCTCATAGGTGTTTCTAACTCTCTATTCCTCTCCCTTCCTCTCTGTAAAAAATCAATAAAATATATTAAAAAAAAAGATTTCAGAAACTGAAGTGAAATTTTTCTGAAGCTCCATTAGTTTCAAGTGCATGGGAGAAGGACAAATCTGTGATCCAGTGAAAGAGTATGCTTCACAGTGCTCTTTGAGAAAGGTATTAAGATGCCAACAATCATTTTGCACTAAAATTGGAAGCTCCTGGAGTGTAGACACCATATCTCATTCATCTTTGTGTCCCCTTTACCTAGGACAAATGTGCTGCATAAAGTAAAGCTCAACAGATGCTTGTTGAATGAATGGCATCATTTGACGGAACATCCGGTCTAGAGGTGGATGTACTCACATGGGAAGACCATATTAGAGCTTAACATTTATCAAGTGCTTACCATGTGCCAGACTCTAGTCTAATGTTTTACGCGAAATACCTCTATTAATCTTCGCATCTATTCCATAAGGCAGGTTCTAGTCACCCTTATTTTTACAGGTAAGGAAAGTGAGGACTGGGAACTTTCTAAAGATCTCACAGGAAGGCAGGTTCAGGGCTGGCACGCAAAGTCACGTAGTCCAGCTTCAGAGCCCATGGGCTTAAACCATCATCTACATTACCTTTCCTGGTCAACAGCTGAAGTTTGTGGGAGCCCTACACATATAGCAATTCTTACCCAGATCAGACTGACATCTTTCAGGTGGTAGCTGCATACAAATATCTAGTCTCTTAATATATGATTAGGAAATGATTTTGTTATAGTGTGTTAAAGTACATATATATTTTGGTTTCGGATCATCAAAAATAAATGAAAATAATAAACATAACAACTCTAAATGTCTTAAAATCCACCCAAGAACAAAATTATTCAAATTGCTAAAGTTTTCCCCTCCATATAAGTAGTGATTATTTTTCTTGCCTGTGCTACCATTTGGAAATAATAAAACTTTCAGTAGCAAGTAAAAGGTTTCATTAAAGCCGAGAAAGCTTTTCCATCATTACTGAAGCAGTTTGTACTTATTACATGTGAAGGATAAAGTGGTAATAAAGTGCAGTTGTACAATAAAACAGAAATTTTAAATCCCTAAAATTCCACCGATCAATAAGTGACGCCCTGATGCTTTCTCTCGGGGCTTCCTTTTGAGTTCCACTGCTTACTTAATTACAGCAGGAGACACTTGACGTACAAATTGCAAAGGGCCTGTGCTGACTTTGTTCAGATAGAGTTTGGAGTCAATAAAAGTAGTCTTAAAAACGTCTGCCACAGATTATCATAAAGACTGAATCTGAGCTGCATTTCAATTTGGGGGAAGTCAAGTAGAAAGCACCATTTCTGGCATTGCCATCTCCAATGAAACTGTCTTAGAGTGGGGAATTTCAGTTGGTAGTCTCTCTGGTTTGCTAAATCTCACCCTAAGTTGCTCTTTGTTTGTAGGTTGTGCACTAGTCCTAGAGATGGAATGGCAATTTTATACCCCTCAGTCATTCATGACAATAAAATGATAATGCTCTCTTGGCTCCTGCAAAGGATCATCTCTGAATCCTTGGATCTTTTAAGTAGAAAGAGTCACATTTGTATGTAATTTGCTTTGTGGAACTGGAAGAATGGGGGATATTATCATTTACAACAAGATAAAGACGCACAAAATGCGTGTTTGGAAAGATTCTGCCAAGACTTGGAAGCACTTTTTTTTTGTTGTTTAAACTTATTAATTCACACTTTTTTAATGTAAGGAAGTGTTTCTGTAGTGACAATATACTGAAGTGTGATATAGAATTAACACATCCTTAGTACTCTCTGATAACTCAGCCCTTCATCAAAAGCAAAGTAAAAACTACTGTAAGTAAAATTGTCCATTATTTTTTTTGTTTTTTAAATATATTTTATTGATTTTTTACAGAGAGGAAGGGAGAGAGACAGAGAGTTAGAAACATCGATGAGTGAGAAACATCGATCAGCTGCCTCCTGCACACCCCCCACTGGGGATGTGCCCGCAACCAAGGCACATGCCCTTGACTGGAATCGAACCTGGGACCCTTCAGTCCGCAGGCCGACGCTCTATCCACCGAGCCAAACCGGCCAGAGCAAAATTGTCCATTTTTAAATAGTAGATATGTATATCCACAAACGAACCCCCCAAAATCACAAATCTGCCATGTTATTTAGTGGGAGCGTCCATTGCACTTTGTCTCTGCTTTCCTCATTAGCGAACAGTGTAATGCTTTGTATGTTTGTAGTCACATTCTAGTTTGTTGCTCATCAACCACTCCCACTACCAAAATACATCACACAGAATTTCAGATTTGAAGTCATTGTGTATTTGATTTCCAATTGGGTAGTCCCTAATTAACCTCCTGTTAATATTAGCAACTTAACTTCTAGAAGTAAATGGTTCTGGTTAAATAAAGTGAATTGAATGTGCTCATTTTTTTACTTCCTCTCTTATTTTGTTAGAGATTCTGCTCTTTTGTTTTTATAGATGGGATGTCTTCTCTTAGTCCTTTGCTTAGCAAACCTGTTCATATAAGTAGGTGGAAATGAAAAGGGATTTGTTATACAATGTCACTCAAATCTTTGAATTCCTTCAGAGTTATATGCCAAAAATCACATAGTGATCTATCATTGAAAATTGTTTTCAAAGATCTTTCAAATGACAACTCAGTTAGGTCTTCCCTTCAGTTATGTTGAAAGCAAAGGATTGGAAACAAAGGATTGCAATCCTACTTGTTGCCCAGTTATGAAAGCCATTTGTTGTATCATCATCTGTATAATACTTCAAGTTGTCCTTTGTTTTGCAGATGTTTTTCTAAGTTTGGTGCACCCTAATAAGACACTACCAGATGGTGAGATATGTACCTTTCTGTTGTAAAAACAGAAAGATAAAAGGGAAGGATGAATTATTATGATTGGAAGTGCATTTTTCAGGTAGATCAGCTTTAGGAAATTTGAGGCTCTAAACTTGATTCCCTTAAAACTATCCTTGCCTGGGATCCCCTAGGAAAGTCTTTGGGTATCCCCAGAAGTGTGCATATCCCAATTAGCAAATGTCCGATTTAGAGAACAGGTGTTGTCAGATGCAGTCTCCTGTAGCATTCTTTCTTTCTCCTAGTCTTTCCCCCCCAGCCCCCCATTGAGGCATTTAATTTGGACATATGCATCACATCCTTAGAAAAAGAATCCCAGGATTTTCCCTCCTGTATGTTCTTGTCTTGCTTCTTCATGGTCCATAATGCTTGCTGTGGTTGTCAAGGCATTGCTAACTGGGAAGAGAAGTGGAAACTTCTCCAACTTACTTTAGTTATTAATAATTACATAATTTTTTCAGAGTGTGAGAAAATAAAACT